AATAAACAAGTAGACTTCACCCTTTTGTACCTCAAAGCCAGCTGGGCACTAATACCAGCACTGTTAAGGATTAAAAACCAATAAACACAGCCCCCCCACCTTACAAGCCCAGTCTGTTCAAAAGGCAAGTAGACTGCTGTGAAAAAAACCCAACCAAACTATGTTTTGATCAGTGCAAGAAATATTCCACTGGTTACAAAGTGTGAAAGTTTCCAAGTACACTTATTCTCCATTTTGAGTTGCTGGGGAAAAACCCTGCCCTCTCCTCTTTTGCCAAATTCTCAGACATTAGGCACCCGTCCTTTTGCCGTGTTAAGAGCCTGTGAACACGAAACGCTTATTTTATGACTAAGGCCTACAAGCATTCCCAAATGGGAAAAATGTTAGTTCACATCAGTGGACATCCCCCTACTATAACATCATTACATTCAAAACTGGGCAAGAGAATGTCTTGCAGCAAAAGGATCCGATATCAGAAGTGCAGCTGTGTTCACTACTCCCGCCTTGATCTTGTACACGTGCCATCTTCGTCATATTCACCCATCAACTGCAACATATATGTTCCAGTATAGAGAAGAAACTGTCCAGTTATTTGTGCTGCATGGGACATTAGCTGAAGCACCTTCCTAGAAGAAAAGCCATTTGTTAAAAAAAAAAATAAATCAAAATCACCAGCAGGATGACACTACCCCTTTCTCCCCACCACAACGCCTTTAGGATGAGTGTCGTAGATACATTTAAGAACTCTCATTCCTTCTCACTTCTGAGAAGCTGGTCATTTTTGTACCTTCTTTAGAAAAAATACTTCTGTGGCCATTGATTAACAGAAAACTACTGACATGTTGGCAGAACCAGAAAACACATTTAACAAAGCAGGCTGTCGTCCTGTTAAGATATTTACATGCCTTCTGCAAAGCCATCACTCAAACTACCAGAGCACCACTGGAGACAACTTTGTCTGGGAGTCCAGCAGCATTCCACACCTCGTGCCTCACCTCTAGGCCATTCACTAATACAACACTGCATCTATCTCCAAGCTACAGATCAAACTCGATTAGATCTGGAGCTGAGCAATCACATTACAGTGGATGCCCAACAGCAAAACAACTGAAGCCAGGCAAATTAATGCTGTCCAAGCTGCAAGCCTTAAGAATTCTCAGTTCACAACTATTCTGTTTTTTTAAAGATTTAATAAGTATCAGCATTCAAATATATAATACTGTGTGAGAATCAGTACAGATCCATAAACTAAGATCAGGTAAGCATCAGAGGTCTACAGTATAAAGTGTGGGTCACCACAGGATCGCAGGGGAACAGAGATCATCATATTTGAACGGTCATTTGTTCAACTAAGTTATAGTTGAATATATTCAAACCTCATCCCCCAAAAGTTAAGCAGGCCCTCCACAAGTATGAAGCTGAGGCGTTGGGGAAGTGGTACACAAGAACCAGAACCATTCCAAACCTGGAAAGGGATTGGTTTCTGAAGATGCAGAAACCAGACCAGCCTTCCTCTTCTGCAAAAAATGAGGGGATTTTCTGAATTCCTGTCTGAGAAAACATGCAGCTGTGAACGCTCTGCTGTTATTCACTTCTCCTTTGAGCTCTAGCAGAGAAGGCAAAGCCTTCTTCCTACAAACTCTTTTTTCTTTTTTTTTTCTCCACTGTGATGTGGAATGCTTCCACTTCCAAAGTTTCCACTTCCAATGCTTCAGAAGAGTAGAATACCCTGTACCTAGAGCCTGGGAAGCCTTTAAAAAACACTGTACCCTTATTCATGCTTCCCACACATACGCTGTTTAAGTATGTCCTTCCCTCCACCAGACAGTACAGGCCAAGGAGCTTTGCAGTTGTACAGAAAGCTGCACCTGGTACTGAGCCTCCGAGCAGCTGCAGTGTCACTGGCGCACGACAGCAGTTGTCACTTAAGCCACAGAGCAAGTTATTTGTTGAACTGGACATCCGATCCTTCCGTTGGACACTACAGAGAGAAACTTGTTTGGGGAAATGCACTCATCAGATCTAGCAGGTTCTGAGCCCCTCCCACCGACAAACAACTGCAGCATTTTAAAGTCCTTTCCCTTCACACTCCGCAGGTGGGCTCGGGGAGAAGGCATCACCGTTAGCAATTTGGTACTCTTTAGCAGAGAGACTACACCGAGAACCTAACATTGTCTGTCTCCAATTTCAACAGTAAGTTGAGACGGGCCATCTCACTGTTGGGTTCAAGAGTACCCAAGGTTATCTCTTCTGTCACCCCTGTTCTTTGCTAGCAGACTATTTTCCCACCCTGGCACTGGCCCTTACAGCCCAACTCTGTAACATAACAGGGCTTCCAGAAGAACTCCACAGCTACTTCAGCTGTTTGCCAGCACCACTTCTTTCTCACCAGCTGCCCTGTGTTGGCAGGGAGGCAGAACTGTCACTTCAAGCTCTCCTTAGCAGTGCAAGTCCCAGTGCTGATACTCATCTTCATAGCAGATAGCCAGAAACTGGAGTTTGTTCTGGGTCAAAAGACTTGACAAACATAGGAACAGGAGGAGTGCAGCTGCTCAAGCATTAACCTTTGGTTTGAAGAAACCCTAATGAAGCCAGTGCTACAGGTGGGCATAGCAGATAGCTCAATAATCACTGTTGCATGACCAGAGAGATGAGTCTCATCTACTGTCACATCAGCTGTAGCCTGAAAGATTAAGCAAGGGACCACCTAAGCAGAGTGGGAGAGGTCAGTCAGACTGAAAGACAGGGAACAAGATGAGCATTACACTGCTTAATACCTGTATCACGAGATGAGGGACCATTTGAAGACTTCAAGCTAAAAGACTACACGTTGCTCAGGGGAAGTGAAAACCTCGCTTACGGCATATACATCTGTCTGTTTCAGAAGTTTTCTTCAGCCAGGGCAGGACACAGCTTGTTTTGCCAAGGCACAGGCTTTCAACACACCGCTGAAAGCAGTGCACAGGACAGGTACTCTTTAGCCCCTGCATAAGACAGTGTTTCCCAGCAGCCAGTTCTACCAAACCCACAACTCACCACAGATTAGTCCTGCAGGAGATACTGGTCCTTGTTAGGCTCTGTTTAGAGACCAGTTGGTTTAGAAACAGTGACATCAGAGTCCTACTACAGATGACAAATTCACATTAAGACAGCAGAGAGTGTCATATCTCTTCTGTTTTCCTTTGACTTCATGTAGCCCAAGTGGTGAATCTGGCAGCCAGGTATTGCAAAGTCTGAACAAGCTTTAAGACTTCTGCCAAATTCCTCTCATTTCATCCCCTTGAAGTCCCCTCCCTTCAAAGAGACTGATGCTTCTTCCTCAGCCTCCTGCATTCTTCAAACGAGTCAAAGAAATCTGGAGAAATTCTCTCAGGAGAACAAAGAGACTGTACCTACACCCTTGCAGTAAATAGAAGCTGATAAGATTTTTGCCTTGGGGGAAATTTAAGATTCCACAATAAAAATCTAGAGTAAGTTTTTAAAAGTCAGCTATCCACCTTATATAGGAAGATTCAGCATATTGGACGGTATGTAAGAATTAATAAAAATAGTAAGTTTATAAACACACCTGTTTCACAGAACCAATAAGCAAACACAGATTTTACATTAACGCATATACCTGAGGAGTAATGGAAACATACTTACCGCAATACGCTTTTTGCTCCCATACATTTGATGTCATATGAGATAGAGTAGATCTCATAGAAGGTCGCCTTGATGTTTAAGCAGCCAATAAAATCCTTAGGGTTCAGCTTGTACAGATCAAACGTGATGTTAGCTACTCCCATTTTCTTCTTTGGTCTCACAGCAGCAACTCCATTTCTTACCTAATTTAAAAAGAGGGAGAGAGACAGTTTGTACCATGAGCCAGGAAACTACAGCAAGACAATCGTTAACAGTGCAGCTCTTCAGAAGCAGCTTGCTTATTCTAGTCTTGGGGCTAGTTCTCGATCAATTCTGAACTACAGTTAAAAGGATTAGCACAGAGAAAAGCAAGTCTGTAGCTTACATCATTTTGTTCAAGCCCTGACCAGGCTTCTGAAGCTATTCCAAAAGACACAGAAGTTCTAGAGTGACACTGCACCTCCTGAATATTTCTTTCCTGTAACACAGCTTCTTCTTCAGCTTACACTAAGGCCACAGGTAATGCCACCAGACAGCATTCCTGCCATTTAATTACCCTGGTATGTTCCAGCTGCTGGCTGAGGCAGCGCAGTTGGTCCACACTGAAACAGGCTACCAAATAACCAAGATGACATTAGGTCCCTCCGTTTCAGAAGGAACACAATACTGATGAGCATTCTTAGAGACAGCTGCAAAGATGACATCTGTGAAAAGTCAGGTCCTCATTTCAAATCCTGGCTCATAACACCTCTCTTTTTCTTCCTGCTAAAAAAGTAACAAGGGGAGGGAACTACTGCTGATTCAGCCTAGGGTTTGATACCGAGTTTTTAAGAGAAAAAGCAAAGGAGGAGGAGTGTGGAAAGTCATCTTCCACCTTAAATCCAGCCTCCTTTATTGAAAGGAGCCCTTGCCTGCTTCAGGGCTGACAGTGGTGCCTTCAGGATTGCTTGCTTCAAGAAAACAAAAGAAGAGCATAGAGAAGACCCACATTTACAGAGACATCTCGTGGGTACGGAGGACACTCTGCTCAGCACCTTCCGCTCAAGGTTAACGACAGCTGCCAAGCTGCTTTTTGCACACTAAATGAAGCAATAAAGTTGTGTAAGGCTGGGCCTTTTTGTGCTTGTCACCCCAGTGCTCAGACAGTGCCATGATAAGTCAGACCAAGCTAAACACTGTAGTATACCATCAGCCAGCAATTTTATGCCTGTTTTACTTCGATAGCCTCCGAGCTCCATCAACAGGGTCCCCTATCAACAACAGTTTGGGCACGCACAAGTAGTTGGTATGCTTGGAAGCGTATCCCCCCCCACATTAGCACGCAGAATATTTGGATAAAGCATAACAGAGTTTGCACTACACTCCAGATGATTTATGAAGCTGCAGCAGTCCTTCTGCTGTCATTCGGCACATCCTGAAGAGGGGCAGCATCCAAACTTGTCCTGCTGCCATGCCAGAGAGGACATACGGCAGAGGGGAAAGGAGCAGCAAGGTGGAGTCATACCCTGGGTGCAACTTCTTTTCTGCTCTTGGAGCTCGTGGCCCAGGTGCAGCAGGGTGATAAGCCAGTCAGGTAATCTTAGGGAAAAAAAAGGTATGAACTGCCCGTGCTGCAGCAGGAGACTGAGAAAATGGGGCCACAGGATTGAGCTATTCGTGTACAAATGGAAAAATGGTAAGCCTGCTTACAGCTCCTCAGCTAGCTCTGCACCTGGTAGAAGAAATTCTGATGCTAGCTTTCTAGCAACAACCATTTCATGGAAAGACAATGAGGAGAGTCTGACTATCTTATTAATGTACAGATGAACAGATGACTATTCCCTCACAAAATCACAAATTGGACACTGACTTGATATGATTAGAAGGCTTAAGCTAGCCAAACTTAATAGTTCTTGGAATATCTTCAAGCATGTAGATTAACATTACGTTTTGATGACAACTTTTAGCTGTTTGCAAGACTAAACACATACATTTTTCTAACCTTCACTAAACCACTACTGCATTCACAAGGCAAAACTTGTTTTACATTGCTTAATTTGGGCATTTTTTCCCCTCTAAAAGCTAACTTTTAAAGACATTGTATTTTTAACTTCAGCCAAAGTCTTAGTTTTCTTTATGTCACAAAAAGGCTCAAGAACAAAGTTATTTCTGAGGCTTTCCAAAAGCAGAGGATTTTCCCTATAATTCTTTTCAGTTGTAATGTTTCATTTCAATTCTTGGCAGATCTTTGGCAACAGTTCTGTCTGAACAAGGGACATTAAAAAAAAAAGAACTTGATTTATTATCCAGGAAGGCTCAACAAGGAGGTGCTACCTTGCCTTCTTTAGGGGAAGTTTTCTTCCTCTTCTCCCTTCTTTCCAACAATTTTAGCAGCCACAGACATTCCTCCATCCACTTCTATTCAAGCGATAGAAAGGCAGTCAACACTTACTTGTGTCCATTTCTGTCCTTTTTCTAGAACCATGAAGTGTGTATTATCATCCAGGGATCTGAAGAACTCCTCTGTGTCCACAACCGTGCCATCTTCCTCCAAAACCAGAGTAACTATTCCAGCAGATATAAGGAAGGCATCTAAAGTCTGAAAAAAGCCAGTAGACTTTAGCATTCAAAAGAGGGCCCATCATTTCATATTAAGACTTGCTTATCTGACATACTCCCCTGAACTTCCCCAGTAATGATTTTTAGAAGAATATGAGTCTGTGGGTTGCCCTTCTGGGATACTGTACTTCACTATAAGTTTCAGCCAGAGCAGACTATACCTTGCTGATGAGCTCTTGCAGACTGCTTGCAACAATTCCCTTCCGGCTGCTTCGGGAGGCATTTGACACACGGAAAGGTCGCCCTGCAGGCATGAGAGGAGGGAACAGGGTCTGTCTTGTTACTGCTCCCACAGACGCTCCCATGGATACCAAAGATCTAAGACAAATGAAAAAACAGCATAGTTATAAAAATAGTCATGTCGAGTACTGTGAGAAGGAGGAGGACTGTCGAGTTCAGTGACCTAAGCACATTATGCGAGTAATTCACAAGTCACATTAAATTCACGGAGCTTGCTTTCAAAACTAAATACGACATAGCCCTACAGACATGTCTCAGAACTTTCTCTGGCCAGTGACGTTTGAAAACACTTCCAAAACTAAAACATTTCTAGCAGATTTGCGCCACCTCTAGCTCAGCTGATGTCAAGGTCACGATTACAGGGGGGCTGACAGGTTTTAGCACCGAATTAGAAAGGCAGCAGCTCTTACTGCATTCAGCCACTTAGATCATTCTCTTTACCTGCAAGATAAGCACTCAATGAGGTAACACACAAGACTGCTTTCAACTAATTACTTAAGATACAAGTTTGCTTTAGGAAGACTGAACATAATATCTATATTCAAAACACCTAGCATCAGAACACAAGTGGAGCTTTTCCATATAGTTATGCTTGTCTTCCAAACAGCCAAGGCGTTTATCTTGTAAATAATATCTACAGCCTATAAAACTTCATCTAGTTTTGAAAAAAATCACAAAATAAGACTTGTTTGTGCGCTGATGTATCAAAAGAAGTCAAATGAAATTAAAATTAAGATCAAAGTACATAAATGCATAGCATTGGAGCAGGCTGCCAGAGAGGCTGGAAGAATTCTCAAACACTTTTAGAAAGAGGTTTTAAATTTTCCTGGGCAATTGCACGTTTTAACAGTGACTGTTTAGGTTCCCCTAGGTAAACGGAGCACATAACACTGGTAACTGCCTACTCCCAGCCCAAGGTACAGACAGACCTGCTCCCATCCACGTCTAGTGACAACTGATTGCTGCCAAATTCTATCAGTTAATTCAATAGCCAGCTTGCCAAAACTCACCCTCTGCATGACACCTGGAAAGGACTGATGTCTAACAAGTCTTTTAAAGGGAGACAATATTTTGTCTCCCATGTTCCTGGACTTTAGCCCCTTAATACTGAATTGCACAGGGGTGGGAAAGGGATGCATGCCCATTTTGTTCTCCCACATAGGTGTAAAAGGTCAGCTTTATGTAGGAAAATCTGTTCCCAGACACTTTCACAGAGGGGGAGGGAGTGAACTGGCAGTCTCCTCCTGCAGCCAGAGAGTGAATACAGGAATTCCTAGAAAATGATGAGATGGTATAAAGTCACTCAAATAATAATGTCCCAGTCACGCCTTTAGTGCAAGTCCACACTGACCAGTGAGAATAACCATCTTTTCCAAAACTCTTATCTGGTCTTTAAGCATATTTTTGGGATGCACAGAAAGTAATTTTTGTGACTGGCCAGATAGAGTTCCAGCAATTAATTTATTTCCTGCTTTCATTCTGAACTGCTCTCCTACAGGGCTTTGGGCTATCGCCTTTCCTCTGTACACCAAAGTTTACCTTCCTCAAGAACTCCTCAGCACTACTGGAGCTTTTATTTTTTCAAAGGAGGGGCATGTTCAACAGTTTTATTCTAGTTCAAGCTAACACCTTCTTGGTAGTGCTGTCTAAACACTAGGCCCTTGGCTTTCAACAGTTTGCATACATAGACACATGGCTGGTGGAAATCTTCTCCTTCCTGTAACAAATCTGGTAGGATGAGGGGTCAGTATGGTTTTCAGGAAATGGGCACTGTTTCAAATTAAAAAGCTAATAAGCACTTTCCTCCTGGAGAATAGTCAAGATCACGGAGGAGGACAAGGTGACAGAGTAGCACTGACAAAGACACTGAAGCTCCACGGAAGGGAAGCGTGCTGGGACGGGGCGTGTTTGGTAATCTCTTCAGTGACTGAGTTAATAGTCCCCAGCCATCCCACTGGTCCGTGGGCAGCTCCCATTCTGAATCACTCCAGTCTTTTCCTCCGACATGAAGCCTGCTCATCTACCTCAGGGCTGGTGACTCCACAGGGCACCCTGACGTTAGAAAGCACAACACTCAGGATTGAAGAGACAACGCTTTCAGTGCTAGTTACATCCCGTTCCCTCTCACACATTTGAAAACTAGCATGTAGGATACTCACCTGAGTGGTATATATGACAGTACTGCCAAGATATTTTTTTTTTTTTTTGCAAGGACAGAAAATACCAGTCCTGTTGAACAGTTTTCTTTCTCATTACTTAAGCCAAGTTGTCATTCACAAAAGACAAAGCATAAGGAAAAAAGCCAAAACATACATCCTGATAGAGGATGAAGAGCGTTCGGGGCACATCCCATGAGCAGGACTTGAGCTAACAGGGTTCACCTCAGGCATTAGCACAGCCAGCTATACAAGCCGTATTTTGCAGCTCTGAGCAGAAGTTTCTTCAGGATTCAAGCCTGATCACCTCACGCTGCTGCCCAGTTCTATCAGATTTAAAAAGTCGGAGAAAAAAAAAATATGCAAATAGACCAATAAACCAGGACTTTCATTACCTCCACCAGACAGTCACTTCACAGGAGTCCAAGTCTTAGGGAGCTATTTAACATTGGTGCCGTTTCACCTACATTTCGAGCAGAAGTTTCTTCAGGATTCAAGCCTGATCACCTCACGCTGCTGCCCAGTTCTATCAGATTTAAAAAGTCGGAGAAAAAAAAAATATGCAAATAGACCAATAAACCAGGACTTTCATTACCTCCACCAGACAGTCACTTCACAGGAGTCCAAGTCTTAGGGAGCTATTTAACATTGGTGCCGTTTCACCTACATTTCAATAAAACCAGTCAATATCATCTTTACACTAAGTCTGCTTCTGAAGCAGTGAGTCTGGGCTCCAGCGCAGGCTGAGGTTTCAGTTAACAAGAAGTACTAGGAAACAAAAGCCAGTGTGATTAAAAAAAGCCAGATAAACAGAGTGCGAATCCTTCCATTTCTGGGCCTATTGCTGGAAGCTTGTTTTCTCTTTGTGTCCGGTCCCCCCCACAGGCCACAGACTCAAACAGGCCATCCTACCTTCAGGGCTCCTAGAAAGATCTCTTTTTGTTGCAACTATCCTCAGAAACCAGACAAATGGATTCCTGAGGCAGGGAATTCCCCCGCTAGACTGGAGTTACTGAAAATAATTTCCTAAAAAAAGCCGATCAAACTAAGTCAGGAAACAAGCGGTGGAGAGGAAAGGAACATACTAAGGTGCAGTCAGCTTTATTAGAAAGCTGAGTGACATGTTAGACACAGGCAACGCCGCTATTGTTTTATTATTCTTTAAAGTCAAGAGGATCAAGTCCTAGCTCTTCCCTAAAGGAGAGAGGGATCCTATGTCAGTGGAAAACACAAAAATATATTTATAATTGAAAGAGCAAATATCTTCAGGCCCTAGCACCTTGTTGAGTTTGTTCTGTATAACTACAGCCCGCCAGAGAGGGACTCGCGGCTGCCCCAAGCATCCAGCGTCGCATGAAGGCTGGTGGGACAGATGAATTAACTTTTTTTTTTTAGGAGAAACCAGGGATTGCAAGCCTGCCCTGAGCCCTGTACACGTATTTCACTCTCTAGCTTTGTTTGCAATATGCCTCCTGTGTTTGTCTAAGAACGTGGTGCAACAGCCTTCAGCCTCACTCAGAAAAATCGATGTTGCACAACACGAGTGGCTTCAGAACAGGGCAGAGTGTGATGTTCAGGTCAGAGTTCACAGGCGAGCGGCAACAGCAGCAACAGCGAAGCAAAAAAAGAAGTCAGAAATCAGTCAGGAGGCCTGGGGTTTGACCAGAGTGCAGGCTCGGCTCCCCGCTAAG